GTCACTGTGAGCTCTTCTTGTCAGGGCTTAACCTAGCGCTGTTATTCAGAGCGACTTACAGTGAGTGTGACAGCACAATAAGCTTAAAGTCCTTACAGTCAGATGACATGCACCCCGGAGTGAGAAGTCTAAGGATCACGGCCACTGCTTTAAATCCCTGTGACCCTGTAATGATTACATAAAATGAAATGGCCACCATTTCTCACTGCACCGGGCCTAAGTGAGGTGAATGTGGGCACAATTACTTCCAAATGTGTGTCACCGTGCGGCTGATGCAAGTGCAGAGTAACATGCAGGAAGCTGGGGAATGTGGGCAGGGAGCCTGGAGGGACAGCAGTGAAAGAACAGAACAGCCCCTGTGTCAGAAACCAAAGTCGGCTTCATGCAAGAACATGATTAGCTTTCTGTTTGCCGAAAATTATGTGTCACGATGTATTTATTCAGTACATGTGTGTAGGCATGAAGGTATGTCTGCTGTGAGAAACGGTGTGCCTCTCTGCATGAGTAGGACAGGGTGATTACAGTTAAAAGCTGAAACTAGAAATGAGGTTATTTCACAGTTTCACTGGCGCAAATCAAGATTTTAAAATATTGTTTGGTTGGTGTTGTTTTATTCTGTGCATAAAGAGGCTCTGTTATGCTTTTTCTGGGTTTTCCTTTTTCCTGTAGTGTGTTATAGGTTTGTGTGCATGTAAATGATGAATGTGTTCCCTCCAGATGGAGTTTCTCTCCCAATCTCTTGTTGAATCCAAACAGATCTAAATCGCTGTCCTTTTTTGTTATTTAAAAAAGACTCTGTAATCATATTATTTGAGAACAGTACAGGACATAGCTACTAGTTTCTTCAGAGAACTGAATAATAACAGAAATAATGTTGACTCCCAGAAAAAGCTAAATAACCACGATTACCACTATAAAGTACAAAGAGGTCCTGAGGAGCATCATCATTAGGACTCCCCTGCGAGACGGCTGCTCTCCGCCGGGGTCTCACTCAGAATGAATTCAAGTGCAGCCTCCACTAAGAAAGAAAGACAAATCTTACGAGAAAGAGTGGGTCATTATGTGTTCCACCTGCTGTCTGAACTGCAGGTACTTAAATGTTCCTGTTATGGATGAATTGGCAGGTTTAACTACTTCCTATGAGACTGATCTTTACCTCTGTGTTGTAGAGCTTCAAATTGCAAATACGAAAGGGTGCAAAATATTAATTAAAACGCCTGCTGCTTTCATCAGAAAACACTACACATGTCTGTGAATATGCCATTGTGTGTGTGATGTGCAATATTCAGACTTTAAAAAGGTCAAATCGTGAATACTAAAAACTCTATTTCCATATTTCTACGCTTAGGATTTGCCAGAATACTAGAAAAGTATTCTTTAGATTCTTTAATATCCATTAGTAGACAAGTATATATATTTAAGATCTGTACCTGTGTAGACTTTTTATGAATGAGGTACATTATTCGAGAAGTGAATATTCCCTTTTTCTAAATTGGACTTTTTGGTCCACTACATTTATTTGACAGCACTAGTTTTAACATTTAAACATCTCACATTAAAAGGCATACAATAATACTATGTCCACTACTTTTATATCTACTTAAATCAATGTAGGTAATTATTTCCCTAATCCTTTGAGTGAATTTAAGGAGTTTAACATTGGCCCCATAATTTTGTGTAGCCCCCCCATCCTCTTAACAAAAGGTAAAGTGGTAATATGTTTAAAGGCTATGCTGTAGAGAGCTGGACAGTGGTGTTTTAATGGAGAGAGGGTGGAGAAGGGGCAGAGGGATGTTAAGAGGAATTCAGAGGTGAGAGTGATGATGGCATTTTTGGGCGAGGGTGCAGCCGAAAGCCACTTCATCTGGCGCGGCGAGTGTGAAAAGCACAAACCAAAATGTCAAATCAAACACAACAACAGCTAGGATGCCCTCAGAAACGGCCAGAAACACACACACTCCCACATGCACACAACCTTTTCAGGCACTTATGCAAAAGGTGGTTCAAACCCCTCCAGAAACTAACTATGAAAATGTATTTTGTAATTGTAGGGAGAGTCTATTCTAGATGTAAAACTGCACTCACAATATTTGCTTCAACATCATATAAATTAGCAGACCAGCTGCAACATGCTAGCCTAGTTATAATCAGATCAAAGTGTCAATTATTACTGCCTTTTCAAAACTTATTTTACTTTGTTTTTCATTGAGTCTGAGGCAATATTACTATATTGTGTTCACTATACTATAGCACTGTGTAATTGTATATTATTTAGCTGGACACTTCAGATAAGCTCAGTGTGTTTGACGCCTCTTTCTGCACTGTGTAATAGTTGTTATCCATTTCAAATGTTGCAAACAATATTATATAGACAAGATTTCTCCACCAGCATTGCCACATGCCATATCATCAATATAATGATAGCTTGTCCTACTTTCTTTACAAAGTGAAATGCCATCGAGACAATGACAGAAATACAATCATAAACTGAGCAAATCTGTTGTGGCTGCTGTCATCTTAGGAGGAATAAACCAATCACACGGGAGCTTTGTCAGGATGCCTGCTTCCTGTCCGTCAGCAATTTGAATGTGTGTGTGTGTGTGCCTTTAAAAAGTAGGTTAACATCACCACAGCTTAAAATCCTCCAGTGCATCAAAGATATCTCACAAGCTAGTTTCCTGTTGTTTCCTATGATACTGACAACTTGATGTAATACTTTTCCTCAATTTACTTTTGTCATTTTGAATATTTTGTGCACCCCGCAGTGCTCCCCACAGTTTGGCAGATTGCTTTGGCCTCTTGTCTTCAGTCCTTTTTCTAACTTGTTTTCAGTTTGCGGCTTGAAAGACACCTTGTGCTGAGCCATAAGAACAATTAATAACAGTCACTGCACGTCAGTTATTTCCTGTCAATGAATGACAGCTCAAAAGGAAATGCTGTCATCTACAGTAATAGAGTTTTAGAGTAACCTACACATCCTAAGGTTTTGAATTAAATTGCACTTCCTCTGCATTTATTGAAAGTTTGCAATGTCTAAAAGGTACATATTTTCTTTTTAAAACGAGTGCATTAAAGGGCAATTCTGCAAAATGGTATGACAAGACAATTAACAAAATCTTAACAATTTGATTAAAACAGACAATCATTTGAGGTGAGCCTGCATCCTGCTCAGGATTTAAGCTGTTCTATGTTGAATGGACTGCAGTTTATGTAATTTAAGATTTGTTTTCTTTCTTCTCTGAAAAACATCAGAGCGATCCAGCCAGTGAGTCCCTCAGTACCAGTCTGTCAGAAAATGGCTGCACTTCAAATAAAGGATAAAAAGGACTAAAGTGAATACATTAAAGGTTTATGCTCTGTTCCCACAATGCTAAGCCAGTGCATTGGGTCTTTGCTCCAGAAATGTAAACATTGATTCATCTCTGTTCAATTGGAGTTAATTGTGTGACGTACAAAAAGCAATTGATGTAATTAACTATTTATCAATCGGACCCAGAAATCAAAATGTACATATTCGTTCTTCACAGTTACAGAAATTGACCCTGCCTACCCAGACTATTTCATCGCATAAATAAAAAGATAATAGTCAAGCATTTTGGAAAATACGACTATTTGCATGCTTGACGAGAGTTCGCCGTTCAATAAAAATCTCATGTTTTTTCATTTAGCAGCCGGTAGCTTAGCATAAAAAGGGTAAACAGCTATCTTTATTCAGATAAATAGACTGAATCTGAATTATTTTTTTTTTAATACAGAAGGTAGACCACTAATGTAATATCATTTTTCAATGGTTTTGAATTTAACAAATGACATTTTGAATGGCACTACATTTTTAAAGTGTCAAATTTCAGCACTAGAGTGGAGACGCATTCAGCAGGGGATGATGTATAATAACAAGCACCTCTATGGAATACACATATTCACTAAAAGACGGAACATAGAGATGTGTGAAATGAAAAATCACACTTTCTGCATCCATGTAATGCATGAAACACATTTAGAAGAAGACAAAGTGACAATGCATCTTGCAGCGTCAAGACAAAAAGGGTCTCTAAGAAAAAAGCGAACTAAAACAGTTTTCTGAAAATTTGCCTTGGTTATTGAAGCTCATGAGTTTCCAATTCAGTTCAAGCAAAAGTCATCACAGTGATTACGCTTCTATCACTGTCTTAGTAACTAATATTGTAACGTTATTGCAGGAATACATGTTGTAAAGTTGTGTGATGTGATGCAGGGCCCTCTGAGTTCTGGAGTATTTTTAAACCTGTGCCAATTATTCTTTAAGCGACATTGACTAAAAACTTGAAGCTTCAACACATCTGAACACCAACTGTGTCCTGGTGGTTGTCCATTTACCTAGAGCACGGGTGTCAAACTCAATTTCATCTCGGGCCACATTAGCATCATGGTTGGACTCAAAGGGCCAGTTTTATATATAAGACTATATACATATATAAATATTTAATATATATAAAATAATGTATTATATTACATTATTGCCCCTGCATTGGATTATTATCGGATAGGGTAATAACTTCATAATTAACTACGTCTGAAAGCAGAAGTCTAGGGCCAATAATTGCAAGTCTCTTCAGTGAGAATATCACAAAATGATTTATTTATATTATATTTAAAAGCCAAATTCTGGAGAAAAAAAAGCCAAAATCAAATAAAATAAGTGACATTTTGAAAAGAAATTACATTTTGAAAGAAAAGTCAGATTTGGAGAAAAAGGCAAATTCTAAGAAAAAACGCATATTTTGAAGAAAAAAAAGTCACATTCTGAGAAAAAAAGTCACATTTGAGATGCATTGTGGGACATGTAGTTTATGGGCAACGTGCTTCTGTAAATCGGCATGTAACCGTATAATAAACATATTATATTCTTTGCCACATAAAATGAAGTCACAGGCCGGATTTGGCCCCCGGGCCTTGAGTTTGACTCCCCTGATCTAGAGTATCCAAAATCAATATTTGTTTTTAGGTTGATTCTGACTTACCTCTCGTCGCCGTGACGCCCAGCAGCTCTGTTTGATCTTCCAAACCACGGCGGCCACGAGGAGCAGCGACAGGAAGCAGCTGTGGACAGAAGGGAGGAAGAGACCATCAAAAAGAGAAAACACACTGATTGAAGTCCTGTGTGTAGGTAACAACTGCATTACTTTACATCAGCTTCAGCCATACATATATTAGTCAACAAGTCAAAGTTATGCATATTTGGCATGTTGGTTTGACCTGTCTTCTATACATCCAACAGCATGATATAACGAGAAAATTATAAACTAAAATTCCTCCTACGAGAAAAACAGTAATTTTAATGATCCAGCATTCTGTACTTTAAAACAAGGCATATCAATAATAAGAGGGATCTTATCACTGGTTCACAAGAAACAAGGTGCAAAAAGAAAAAAGCCAGACGGACGCAGCTGTGAAGAGGCGGAGAGGCGGACTACATTATGCACTTTCAACAAGACTGCCCAGGGGATCAGGTGAGTGTTAAACCAGACACCTCGATTCCCTTACATACTTCAACTTACTTTAAAAAACATCTATAACCTTTGGCTGAAAATGATTTTTTTTAGCACTGTGGAACTTTTCATTGTTTCTGCCTGAGAACTTAAAAAGGCCCAATTACGCTCATTTTCAGGTTCATATTTGTATGTTCTGCCTCTAATGTGACATGTGTCCATGCTTTAATGTTCAAAAAGCTCTTTATTTGTTCCCATACTCCCTGTGCTGCAGCAGCTCTTTTCACCCGCTGTCTGAAACCAGAGGCCAGTCTGCTCTGATTGGCAAGGAAACTAATTGAACATTGCTGTCATTATTCTGTAGATATTACATTGTGCAATCAACAGTTCCTTATTTTGTACAAATCAAATCTAACAAACAAATGCACTTTGCACTTTAGAATATACACCTTGAGGTGATGAAAGTAGAGATGATACAGAAGGTGGCGTTCTTAGCAGTGAGAGTGAATGAGTGTGTGTGTGTATGTGTATGTGTATGTGTGTGTCATCATAACAGACTTTCTGAACTTCGCTCCCTGACTGTGGCACCTTAAGCTGATTTCCTGTGACTCTGTGGCTCAGACTTCCTTTATTTCAGCTCAGGTTAGTGTTAGCAACACGCTGCTGTTAACATAGTATCAGCAGCGTGTGACGACAAAACACCTCAACACACTTTTAGGTAGTATGTACACAAAGTCTTTCCGAAAAGCAAAAGTGAGCAGTAGGATTTACTTCTGCTTTAATATTTTCAGGAATACTATTCAACGTATTCCTGAAAATATTATGTTATTATTAGTTTAGGGTACACAGAGCTACATTTTACTGTATATTATTCAATACAAACTAGAATGGCACTTTAGATCACAATGAAGCACAAACATTCGCTAAAGTCAATGGTGCATTCATGTGCTCCTCAAATGGTCCCATTTGTGCGGATTAAAGTCGTTCTTCCGATCTTAGCGTGTACAAGAGTTAAATTGTTGTAAAAATGTGGAAAGAGCATGGATCCGCTGAGCCCTGAAATGTGTATCAACATTTTTGATCCCAGTTAGGAACCGATGATTCCTACATCTGAAACCACGTAAATACGGCAACAAATATATTAAATATATTAAAGCGAATATTAGGTGAAACTAAGAATGTGTATACCATCTATAACCTTTGGCTGAAAATGATTTTTTTTAGCACTGTGGAACTTTTCATTGTTTCTGCCTGAGAACTTAAAAAGGCCCCATTATGCTAATTTTCAGGTTCATATTTGTATGTTCTGCCTCTACTGTGACATGCGGACATGCTTTAATGTTCAAAAAGCTCTTTATTTGTTCCCATACTCCCTGTGCTGCAGCACCTCTTTTCACCCGCTGTCTGAAACCAGAGGCCAGCCTGCTCTGATTGGCAAGAAAACTAATTGAACATTGCTGTCATTATTCTGTAGATGTTACATTGTGCAATCAACAGTTCCTTATTTTGTACAAATCAAATCTAACAAACAAATGCACTTTAGAATAAACACCTTGAGGTGATGAAAGTAGAGGTGATACAGAAGGTGGCGTTCTTAGCAGTGAGAGTGAATGAGTGTGTGTGTGTGTGTGTGTGTGTGTGTGTGTGTGTGTGTGTGTGTGTGTGTGTGTGTGTGTGTGTGTGTGTGTGTGTGTGTGTGTGTGTGTGTGTGTGTGTGTGTGTGTGTGTGTGTGTGTGTGTGTGTGTGTGTGTGTGTGTGTGTGTGTGTGTGTGTGTGTGTGTCAGCCTAACAGACTTTCTGAACTTCGCTCCCTGACTGTGGCACCTTGAGCTGATTTCCTGTGACTCTGTGTCTCAGACTTCCTTTATTTCAGCTCAGGTTAGTGTTAGCAACACGCTGCTGTTAACATAGTATCAGCAGCGTGTGACAACAAAACACCTCAACACACTTTTAGGTGGTATGTCCTTGAGGATGGCTACATTTTGATATGTGAACACAAAGTCTTTCCGAAAAGCAAAAGTGAGCAGTGCTGCTTTAATATTTTCAGGAATACTATTCAACGTATTCCTGAAAATATTATGTTATTATTAGTTTAGGGTACACAGAGCTACATTTTACTGTATATTATTCAATACAAACTAGAATGGCACTTTAGATCAAAATGAAGCACAAACATTCGCTAAAGTCAATGGTGCATTCAAGTGCTCCTCAAATGGTCCCAATTGTGCGGATTAAAGTCGTTCTTCCGATCTTAGCGTGTACAAGAGTTAAATTGTTGTAAAAATGTGGAAAGAGCATGGATCCGCTGAGCCCTGAAATGTGTATCAACATTTTTGATCCCAGTTAGGAACCGATGATTCCTACATCTGAAACCACGTAAATACGGCAACAAATATATTAAAGCGAATATTAGGTGAAACTAAGAATATGTATACCTTGCCCCATTATACTCATAAAAGTTCATGAGAGTCGGGCCAGTTATCTTTATAATCCAGTAATCTGATAGAGATAATGACAAATGAACAGACAAACAAAGCTAATTAGAAAAATGCATCCCATCGTAACTAGTCACAGTTTACAGTCAGAGATCGTTGTCAATGCTGATGTAGATTAACCTCAGCAGCAGTAATGATAAGGATCTACTATTCATACAATCAGTGGCGGCTCCAGAGTATTTTTGTTGGGTAATCTATGGTAGGGCTAACCCATACAGTGGTGGGGCTCAAGTCAGTATTTGCAATGTAATTACATACACGCTATATCGCCCCCCTTGACAGTGAAACGCCACGCGTGAGGTTTAGATTATTTCCCTGTCTCAATCCAAATTGAACTGTATGAAATAAAAAGGCACATTTGTCTTGTAGTAAATAAAAAGGGCGACCTGGAGCCAATCCTGCAATTTCCCCACAGGTGAAAGAGTTGACATGCTGAAGACCCATCCCCTGCAGGGCGGTCTGGGGGGATTCTCCCCCAGGAGATTTTTTTAAATACTAACATAAAATACACATTTTGGTACTCTCTTGAGAAGAAAAATAAATAAATCTATTACTACACATTTAAAAAAATGAATGCCATTTTTGTTTTTTGTTACTTTGTTCTGAAAGCTGAACCTGCTGCTCCTCACAGAGAGAAGAGGGAAGAGGCTGTGTGAATTACTTTACATTGTGGATAAGGGTGGATAGCCCCCATTGTTCTGTGTGTCAAAATGAAAGACAGCCCACACACCTATCAATCATCAAACCGTGGGGTCTTATTTCATTACGTGTTGATTTCTATCAACAAGTAATGTTGTATCGATGTATAGAGAGATGTACTACAGCAAAAGTCGTGACTTCCTGCAACAACACCACGCCGTTATCGTGATTCTGATTGTCCAGAAGACATGATCAAAGATGTTCTATTGAGAAGACGATCACTACCTGACAAAAGTTTTCAAAACCGTTTCTAGTCTTCGGTATTTCCAGACAAGTGGCTGCTGAAATCAATCTTACTAACTGCTGTCTGTGCAATTTACTCCGCGCGAGTTCTGGCGGACTTTATTTAGCTTACTTTAACGTCATTTTTCATGGTGGGGCTAAGGTGGGGCTAAGCCATTTCTTGGTATGGCTGTAGCCTACCCCAGCCATACCCTGGCGCCGCCACTGCATACAATTAACACTCTGTATGTACGTTCCTCACAGCAGCATGCAGTCAGGTACTGAATGTGATAGAAGAAAATGTTAATAGTGTAAATTATTTTAATTGGGCTCCATTTCAGGTTTGGCATAAAATAAACACCCCACATGTGTACCGCTGTGTAGAAACAGCTGTTGCTTACTGGAGAGGCATTGAACTCAACACGGCTGTTAACAAGCACAAAGGACATACAAAAATGGAGAATAAAGCCATGTTTACGTAGTATTTCAGTTTCTTCTTTTGTTTAAGCTCACAGGAATAATGTATGTGAATTCTCTTTCAAGGGTTAAAAGTGGATTTAATTGGGAGTTAAAGCATAACTTCTCCAGACACACTGTCTTCTATCGAGACAGCTCACAGATTTCTCTCCAAACTTCGACCACCTTTTCAATGTAAATGCCTTTCCCCATTTAAATACTGGCTGTGATGCGTTCAGATCTTCCTACATCCACCGCCCTTCCCTGTGTGACTGTTTAAAGTGCCATCCATTCAAAACAATCCCTTATCTCTCCAGGCTGAGGAGGACTCTTAAGAGATCCATCCGTTCAGCCGTTTTATTGATCTCGCTTCCTGCTCGCTGCTTATAGAGCGACAAAGTGCTAATGAATGACCCGCGTGAATAGATATCAGCGGCGCATCAAAGGCATCCCTTTGCACAACGGGGGGGGAAGGATGGAAAGACGGACAGAGGACAGGAGGAGGGGAGAGGGAAACACAAAGAGACAGTAATGATGAAATACAGATGAGAGATTCTGCACCTAATGGACAAAAAAATATGTAGATACAGAGAGGGAAGTGTATCGATAAGACAGCCTTATGAGCAGAAATGCTACAGTAAAAAGACATTTATCAATGATCAATATTTGTCTTATCATGGTTGTATACATAATGATGGAAAAATAAACAACATCTGTTTCAGAACCTCATAGTTTCAA